TTTATTATTAAAAATGTTGTTTCAGCTTTAGAATCAGAGAACTAACTCTCCCTCATTCCTGAGAATCAAGCACAAAAGATTCTTTTTAAATAATATGAACTTTAAGTTTCTGAGAGAAAGTGATGCAGAGCCTTTGCAATACCTCAGGGTTCGGGAAACTCTGTGTGATAACTGGAGTGACGACAGCAGCAGGTACAAAACACACTAGAGTGTCATTCAGCCTCGGTCTGAACTGTGCAATGTGTGATTCAAACTGTACAGCAAACAGAAGCTGGAGAAGAAGAGGTTAAAGTACCAGGTACACTGACGTAAAGACATGGGCCTGATAACGGTACTCTGGGGGGGGGGGACCCTCTTTGTCCTGAGAGTAATAATGTAACACAGGCTGCGGGTTGTGGTAAACATCGAAAGTGGAAACTCACATGCAGTTTCTACAGTCGGTGAGAGAAGTCCTGGAAAAAGTCTGAAAACTATTCATCTTCCAGGCCTGGAGATGTTTAAGAGCACTATTATCTTTGTTTAACAAGTAATTACATTTAACAAGTAAGTCATTAATAAATAATAATAATAGTAATTTTGGCTTTTGTGAACATTTTAAAAGTACAAATGAACAAATGTGATCAGGCCAAGAAGAATGAAATATTAATTAATGATAGTTGCTAGTATTAATGAATTGCTGATTCATTTCTTTAATGGAAGTTGTTGATCTTTAAATAAAGTCTGTTGTGTCACTTTTTTTTTTTTTTTTTTTTTTTACATAGAGATACATTTCATTTCATTTTATAGTAATACAGCCATACAATGTTGGTTTGAAGGTGCAAACAGGTTAATCATAATGAATCATAAAGTATATTTAAATATTTTGTTGCAGTTTTTTTTTAAAGTCAAGACAGATCAGAGCAGCAGTAAAGACTGACCCCTGACGTCGACACGCTTACCAACAAGAGCTGATGTGTTTGATTAGAACGCCACCTTGTGTCTCTGTAACACAACGTAATGCAGAGTTAGACTGCTGCACAGAAACAAAGACAAACGTACTGTAACACCTTATCTGCAGAGCTGTCTATCAAGCTGTGAACTAAGAGCTATGTTTCCATGGTAACAATCAATGAGATTTCCTATAATGTATAATCAGTGTCACCAGAGCCGTTTCTTGCTATATGCGGACCATGCGGCTGCATAGGGCCCCGCAGCCACCAGGGGGCCCCCAAACTGCAAGTTCAGCCTCATATTTTATTCTATCTTGGAGAATTAAAAGCACCTGTCTTTATTTGCATGTATTGCATGCATTCATTATGCATTTATTTGCAAAGCATGTAAGTGTTCGTGGGGTAATCAGGTCAAAATCACCTTTGGGCTGGGCTGTCACGTGGTAAGTGACGTCTTTCCGACAGGTCTGACGGGATGATTGACAGCCGCCCACCTTCCGCTGAAGTGATGGGAATAAAGGTAGACGCTCATTACAACGTCATCGAAACGTACTTATGCGTCTGGTGCAGAGAAACGACCACAGGATCAAGGTAAGGCATCTGATGTGGGGTGGAGGGGGACACATAATGCCAACTTCTGAATAAGTTAGTTTGTTACTTTTGTTCAGCTATCCTCAGATAAATGTGAGCTACCTCAGCTAAAGTGATGATTGTTTGTATGTATGTAAATAAAGTCAGCTTCATCCAGAGTTTGCTTTACAAAAAGACTCAAATAAATGTGTCTCAAGCATAGACCTGTGCTACTATTGTATAAATAAAACCAATTATTATCAGACTGATTATTGTTACTTTTAGTAGTAGTAAGATAGGGTAAGATAGATAGATAGAAGATAGATAAGATAGATAGTAGTAGTAGTAGCAGTATCGCAGTGGATTATTCATATAGCACTATGAATTTTAAATGATCACTGTACTCTGAAATATTATCCAATTCTTTGCTCTATTGTATTTTTATTTACTGTGGTTTGGTTACTGGACAAATCTGCTAACTTAGTTGAATCCCCCCTTGCCAAATTTATTAGAATATATATTGTGACAATGTAGTTTACTAATTTGAACAAACCTGTATATTTAAAGTGTCCTGTACTGCATGAGACTGCTAGTTGTCCACTTTGTAATGCACTGCAAGATATATGCAAACATATTCCCTTTATATCATATGGGGCTCATCACTCATTTACCTTCATTTTTATTAATTAACTAGTATAATGTGGAGATAAACACAGAAAAAACTGGTAGTTGCTTAAACAGGGACACTGTGTATTGTAATGTTTAATATAAAAACAGATTCAGAATGTTTTGCATAGTGCAACATAGCTGCAGTTATATGATATGAATATTTGCTTCTGATTGCTTGGTAACCTAAGGAGCTTTGTCTTTGCAGGAGTAATTTTGAAATACTTCAGAGGTCCAGTTCAAGGAGAGCCAGGGGGACCTTCATCAGCTCCTGACCAGCAAGCAGCAGGACCATCAGCAACTGAAGCAAGGAAGCAGAACATTTTGGTACTACCATATCTTTGAAATCATTCTGATAAACACATGTGTGTATAGAAAAAAGACATCCGTCCAGTAAGATGACAACGAGCATAGCTTTCCACCTCTAGTCCTCCTACGAGCTGGAGAAGGGTTGGAGCGTGGTAGCCCTCTCTACCAAATGTCTGATATCTGGTATTACAACCACTAATAAATAATAATAATAATCATCATAATAAGAACCATATACACAGAAATCAGGTAAATTCTTAGAACAACACTTGTTTTCCTCCTTATTTAAGAAACTTTAACTTGAAGGCGATGGAGGTCGGGCTTCCTCGTTTGTCAGAGCTCCTGAGACTAGGTCTCGATCATCCAGCAGGGGGCGCCGTTAGACTCTTTCCACTGCAGCCTTCTAAAGCTTCTCCTCAGTGTGTCTCTGTGTGCTGGGCCTGGAGTGAGGATTCAATTCAATTCAATTCAATTTTATTTGTATAGCGCCAATTCATAACAGAAGTTATCTCAGGACAGTTTTCAAATAGAGCAGGTCTAGACCGAACTCCTTATAACATTATTTACAGAGACCCAACAGTACCACCATGAGCAAGACCTTGGAGACAAGGGCAAGGAAAAACTGTCTTTTAAGAGGCAGAAACCTAGGACAGACCCTTCGGCTCTAGGTGGGTGGTCGTCTGCCTCGACCAGTTGGGGTGAGAGAGAGAGAGAGAGAGACATGCAGACAGATGATAACACACCAGACTTAACTCTCTAACAGGATGTGGTTTCAGTCTTTGCTCCAGGTTGTTAGCCCAAAGTTACTCTATTCTTAGTGGTGAGGCTTTTTAATAAAACCGTGTGTGGAGTTTTAGTGTTCCCTCCTGACACTCTCCTCCATTTGTGAAAATGTTATCATCTCTTCTCTTCTTCTCATCTGATTTGTTTTGGTTGAGTTAGAGAATGTGTGGGATGTTGTCAGGACATCTCCATAAATGATCAACCAGACCAGGTGGAAACACAAAACAATAGAATTTGATCCTGGAGACCAGGATTCAACACCTGATTGCATTCAGACCTGCCTCAGATATTTACATTTTAAGGTTATATTTTTATCAGCTTATCCAAAATGTGCTTTTTTAACACGAAAAGTTAGATAAAGTTAACTTTATTCTATTTTTCTATTTGTGTTGTATATTTGTCTTATTATTGCACTGTTGTGTAAAGGGAGTCGGGCAAAGTAAGATATCCATTGTATTGTAAACCAATGAGTTTCTTCTGTGCATGAAGACAATAAACCTCATGAATCTTGAAAAGAACCCCAAAACAGTGTTGAGTCTAAATGTTTGGAGTTTCAGTCCCTGGTTTATGTCTTTAAAAGCTGAAGCTCACAGTGGAAACTCAGCAGTTCTCAGTTTGTCGCCAAATGCAGCAAAAATTCTACAGGATTTGCAGAAAAAGATTTACCACATTAAAATGCAAATGAATGTTTACATCCACTAATGTTATGCAGATATCAGGAGTTGAGCTCATAGAGATAAACTGTGCAGCATGTGGCACGAATTGTCCAGCTGGGAGCCATTAAACCAATGCAGATAAAAAGGCGCAACAAAATTAGTTTCATTAAGTTCCAGTTCCATTAATTTGAGCAAATTTAATCAATCTGCACAGATCTGATGATTTCAATCAGCTGCCATTTTCTCAGGTGACAGGTCACATGCTTCATATGCATCATGATCTGTTTGCATTGCGGCACATTTTGTTTTTATTGATCAACTTTCGGCCTCAGCCAAGGAAATGAAAACTTTTTTGCAATATTTGATCTCTTTTAGAATTTCTAGTGTTTCCGCTGATGTTTTATTTAGGTGCAAATCGCTTATTTGGTAAAAGATTGATGAAAAGGATAAAAGTTACTGCAGAGAACTTTGCACTGATTGAGGTGCAAGAGCGGTTTGTTGTTCTGACTTTTATCAGCATCTTTCTTCTTTCTTTGCTTCGTTTTCTATGAATGATATTGACCTCCACCTTAGAATGAAAGAATACCAAGAAAGACACTGACATTAGGGAAGAAAGAAATAAGTTTGAAAGTAAAAGCGGAACCAATCTCCGCTTCAGCTGAGGACTGCTGCTTTCAGTTTCTCATTGGTGTTCGGTTTCACCTTCCTGTGAGAAGTCAGACATCTTTTTAGGATCCAACGTGTTTGACCTAATTTATGAAAGTTGTGATTCATAATGAAATTAATTTGTAGTCATTGAATGTCTGAACTCAACAGAGATTCCCTGTAAACGGAGCAATTAACACATGTTAGTGGCCACAGGCAGATATTGTAGGAAAAACTAAACACGTTTTAAAGCTGCATTCATGAAAAATGTTTTCTAATTATGTTGTTGTTGGTAATGTTCTTTAAAAATGCACTTACTATTTCAAATGAGTGATATATAAAGAATTTGTGGGCTAAACAGTATTTTTAAAGCATCAGGGTGAATACAGTTACTGAAATGAAAGAATCATTTGCAGACTGCACACCAGTGGTTGAGCATCCACAACAATCTGGTCGCTCTGTAGTTTCAACATGAACCGCTTTGTGTGCCTGCTGCTTCTGGGACTCTCCTCTCTGTCTGTGGACGGTGAGTCACTCCACTTTTGTCTGTTTTATTGAATCCACTGATATCTTTGCTGGTCTCAGGCTACACAGCATGTTAGGGTCAAATGTTTTATATCCAATACTTGGCTGGATACTTGCTGGTATGTTCTATGAAGTTTAACTTGAGATGAACTTGAAAGTGAAAAAACACAACTGCTATGCTGCTACAGGGCAGATTTTAACAACAACACTTTGTTTTTACACTCAAACGACAGATATGTTTAATGATATGATAGATATATTGATACTTTGAGAGCTGTATTCTTTAAAATAGACTTTACTGTCGGTCTCCTCTCAACCAGTTGTGTTGTGGTGTATGTTTAATTTTTACTTTACATAAAATATGCCTGAATATCTAACATTATGGAAATGTAACTAAGTCCATTTGCACGGTACTTAAGGTAATTATTCTGCTAATTGTACTTTACTTGAATATTTACATTTACACTACATTTGGGATGAAATTCTTTTTTCTACTCCATTACATTTTAAGTGACTTTAGTAAATTTGATGCATTTATATAGATTTAACTGAGGATCATTTATAAACCAGCTCCTAAACCAGCTAATGCTGCTTAAATGCATAATGCATCAGTAATAATAAACCAGTGTTATGATATAACACTCTGAAAGGGACCTTTCTCCCGCCTATTAACTTTTATATTTGATACTTTTAGTACATTTAGTATCTTTCATTGTGTGGTATTTCTACTTCCTGTTTATCTCCTTCATTCCTTATGCAGTGTTAGGGTTATAAACTCACAAAGGTTCCTGTAGAATGTATTACCATATACTATAGCCTAGTATATTGTACTCAAAGCAACAAAACATGTCTACTATACATAGAAAATAGTAGACATGTTTTTGGTAGTGAGGGAGATAAGTGATCAAATTTATGAAGATGTATTGTTTCTGTTCTTCATAAGGATGTTGGTTTTTATTTATTACTACATTATATTAAGCTTTTAGTGAGCCTTGTTTCTGGTCATTTTCAACTATTTTCCATGCTGTACTTCAGGAAACAGAGCAATTAAGAGAGTCTGGCTGCCACAAGAGACCAACAGGCTTCGAGAGACTTGCAAAAGAGAGGTTGCAGTCCTTTTTTGTGGAAAATTTTTTAAAAATTTTGAGAAGATTTGAGACACATCTTTTGTATGTGTATTTTCAGTGAACTGAGCCATGTAAAGTAAGGTGTTATGTTTGTCTGCAAACTGTAAACCTCTTCACATGTTGTCAGTATCTCTGCAGATTGTGGGTGTTTAGTTTCTCCTTTTTTATTTCTGTGTACACTCCAGTGATCTGAATGAGGAACTGGCACTTTGTCACAGTGCTGTGCTGTGCTGTATAGGAAGGTATAGGAAGGTGGGCTTATAGACAGAGAGACGATATGAAATGTGCCTTTATGTGATATTTGGGTAAATCTTTGTGGCCTGTGCAAAATATTAAATATTAACTCTTGAAACATCATGTACCCTCCTGTTTTTACTGGATATTACATCAGTTCGTAATGTGCTTTTAATGTAAGCGTTGGGGGACAAACTCCACTGTATGAACTGGAGGCACGTTTATAGCAAGTAAAACCTGTTTCAACATTTGTGTGGGCACCTGACCTTAAAAATTGTGAACCCATCCTTTAATATGTTTGGATCACAGTTAAATATACATATTTTTAATATTTAAATCAATATTAAAGCAATCCATGTTCCTTTGGCTGTGACAGGCTTTACATCTCCCATATGGTCTAGCGGTTAGGATTCCTGGTTTTCACCCAGGCGGCCCGGGTTCAACTCCCGGTATGGGAACAACAACTCTTGGTGTGACTTGTCTTTGGTTACTCAGAAGATTCAATGGTTCAATCCCTTGCTCCTCCTGCCACATGCAGAAGTATCCTTGAACAAGATACTGAACCTCAAATTGCTGTGCATTGTTGTATGAATGACTTTCTGTTTGACAGCCTTTATGGAGACAATTTTGTTCCTTTATTATTCATTAAAATAGAATAGATTTGAAACCAAAAAAGAGATTTGAAAGCAAAAAAGAGTAGGTGGCAATCAAAACAATTTTTTTGGAGATCGAAACAGAACAGGTTGCAATTGAAAAGAAAATATGAGAGAACATATTTCTTCAACTTCAATCAAAACTAATGTTTGTAAGTAAAAACATACAACCATTGTGCTTATAAATCAGTCCTCTTTACTTGCGAGTTCTAAAGTTTTGCTTGCGAATTCAACTGCACTTGATGGGCGGGGCCTACGCTGGTGGACGAGAGAAGAGTTTCTATTGGTTGGTTTGACCTGGCTACGTCTTCCGCATTACACCCACTTCTCCCTTGTGCTGTGCTGCTTGGAGATAAGCCTGTTGCTCTTGAAACGTTTCCCATAAGTAATGAATTGCGCTATATATCGTTGGCTACAGCCTGCCGTACATCAATAGTTGTTGGTGGACTTGGAGCCATGCTGCTAAAATTACTTATAAAATACGAAGCCAATAATTTCTAATCAAATAGGTCAAAGCTGAAAAAAGTACAGGGATGTAAAGGAATTCCGAAAATGAGGAAAAAACAGTTTAATTTTTACTGTACAACTGAAATGGTTTTGCATGTAAACATGCATGTTTATGCATGTGTTAAAAAATACTAATGAACCTACTGTGTCTGCACATTAAAAAACTATTTACTATTATTAAAATCTTTCTTGTGAATCTCTCAGATTGTGCTGCTGATGGAGATGGATACTTCATGTACGCTGACTTCTGGTGTGCCATCGAGCAGACACAGGTGGAGTATCTGGTGGACTGGTATTTTAACAAAGAGTTTACGATGCAGTACAACAGCACGGTTGGGAACTGGACGGGCTTCACTCCAGCTGGATTCATCACTGCGTCTCTGTTAAATGAAGACAAGCAAGATGCTCTACAGAGAAAAGTGGAGAGGCAACTGATATGTGTCAACAACGTCGGTTTAATAATCAACACAACTGAGGAAAACATAGGTGAATATTCGAACACTTAAATTCTATTGTATTAAAGTGTTATCTCAGGACACTATTTCTTTAATATAAATCATACACAAACAGGGTTGTAAAAGCAACATTTTGTGGTTTAAGAGATGCTTTGGAATTATTTTCATCTATCCTGGACTGGAGGGTCAGGGGTGGATCTAGAGAAATATTCATATGGGGGCCAGAGGGGAGCATGGAGACTTTAAAGGGGGCTGAAAAATATACTCTGATTTAATTGCAAACTACTACATATATCAATATTTGCTTGAAAAAGCCCCCAATTTAAGATATTTGAACTCAAAAACATTACATTATTCTGTAAAGCATTAAATGGTGGAATTAGAAATACATTGTTTTATTTCTAAATCTTCAGAAATTCAGCTAGAGAGCGTGAAATGTGGTGAAACAATCCACCAAGATTAAGTCTCAGCACATAACTTCGCCTAAAACCGAGAACTGCATGTTTCTACTCACATGACTGAAACTTCATTGTTGTGAGTTTCACTGTGACAGATTCTACATAATGTGAAGTTACACAAGCGTTCAGTCTTTAAATGCTTCCCCTTGGCTACATGATCAGTCATTTATAAACATAATTCTTCTGATTTCAGCTGAACCCAGCGTAACTCTTGCAGAGACCACCAACCATAACGGCACCGTGCTGGTGTGCAGCGCTTATGACTTCTACCCCAGATTTATCAGGGTGGCGTGGTACCAGAACGGACAGGAAGTGACCTCGGGCGTGACCATAAGCGAGGTCATGACCAACGGGGACTGGACCTATCAGGTCCACTCTTACCTGGAGTACACACCTGGAGGACAGGACAGAGTCAGCTGTATGGTGGAGCACGCCAGCCTCAGGGAGCCCAAAATCTATGAGTGGGGTGAGAATGGAAGGACAATATTATTTATGATGGATTACATTAGATTAGATTAGATTAATTTTATAAGTAGTACGGTCTAGACTTTCTCTATTTGTGTCCTGAGATAACTTTTGTTAGGAATTGGCACTATAAAAATAACACTGAATTGAATTGTATTAGATTAGATTAGATCAGATAAATTCAGATTAGATTAGATTAGATTAGATTAGATGAATGAATTAGTTTAATACTGAAATTGATTTGATATTTTGTCATTAATAGGCATGAAATATATGTTTCTCTTATCATTTTGTTGCAGGTAGTCAGTCTGAGAGGAGTTACCTGATTGGTGGAGTTTGTGCTCTACTGTTGGGAGCAGTGTTTCTGTCCGTGGGACTGATCCAGTACAGGAGGAAACGCTGTGACGCGCAATGTTCAAACCCTTTATAATCCAGTAAATAACCTGAAACATTTTCATCTAATATAAAAAAATAAATGAAAAACAATGTGTATATGCACATTTAATACAAACAATGCTGTATATTTTGCTGTGGAAGTGACGTGAAAACGGTCAGAAGAACATCCAACTCAATGCTTTATACAGGCAGCCGGTTATTTATTATTCACAGTGCATATAGATGTTTCTGAGTAGCTTCTGATCCGTAACTAGATAGTAACTCATAGCTGCTCTAGCTGGCCCTCTCTCAAACTGAAGCTTCACCAAAGCTGATAGTAATGTTTGTAAGACTTAAGATGTGAGTATTTTAACAATGGACCAATAAATCGTTGACTCTGTGCAACAACAGTCTACATCCATGCAGCTCTGTTAGGCTGTACTCAGGCTCTGCTTTGAGCTAAATTCTGACAGTGACAATGCTAAAACACTGATTTCATTAATCTTGCCGGTATTTGCTCATAAAGAAATGTACTGGTAATGATTAGGATGATGTTGGATGAAAGGAAATCACCAAAGTCAATAGGAATCAACACCTAACCATGAATGTGAGTACAAAATGGTGAATTAATTTACTGGCTAAGTTTAAACTTTGACCTGCTGGTGGCGCTACATGAAAAGTCATTGGATGACAAAAACTAATTGGTATTAATCATCTGGGGATCATCAATTATTGTACCAAACTTCATGGCGATCCATCTCACAGTTGTTGAGATATTTCACTCTGGACTCTGAACACACCAACGCGTCTGAGCTCCCTGTGACCCTCCGGTGGTTCCATCCCAGCGTCACCACGGTTACACACACAGGACAGAGAGAAGAGATATATGTGTCAGGGAACCTCCGTCTCCATGACGACGGTAAACAGGTCTTTCAGTGTGGCTTACACACAGGTGAAACATTAGCCGCACAGAGAGAAAGAAACCACACACACACACACACACACACACACACACACACACACACACTGGTCAGGACAGATGGCGGATTCACAGCGAACATCTGAACCCATCAACTTTGTGCATCAAGATGAAATCTGGTAAATCTGCTAACTTTTACTTTTCTCACTGCTGTGTGTCATTTGTGTTTTATTTAAATCACTCTTTTTGAAAAGGGGCTTAAGCATTTGGAAAGATGTTCGCAGTATTGGTGGGGGTCATTCATGTGGAACTGGATGTTTAATATTACCGAATATTATCTTCTGATATCTGTCTTGTTTTAAAACATATAAGATGTTCAATACATGAATGACATAGTCCAGTCTTTCTGTATGCTTGTTGTGAATGAGTATTATCATTATTACTGTTGTTGCACTTACCATTACTAATATTACTGGTAGTCTTGTTATCATCCTTATTATTATTTTGAATCCTCCCCTTGTTCCTTTTCTTTTTAATCTTCATGTGAAGCACATTGTGTTTCCCCCTTGGTGTGAAATATAGTAAATACAGCAAGAACAGGTGTTTGTTAGAAGAGATAAAATCATATGCCACAATGAGAAAAAGTGTTAAGTAAAAGTTTAATTCCTTCATACGTAGTAATAATGAGAAAAAATATGTCAATGCATCATAAAAGATATTGTGTTACAATGTGAAAATTGACTCTTTATTTATTTAGAGTATATTAAGTTTTTTATTGAAAGTATTAATGAAATCATTCCATAATTATATCATAGGCTGTTGTTATTATTATTCTTCTACATGTTTCTGTGACTTCATGTAGTTTTTGGGAAAATTAAACTCATTATAATAAGAAAGCAGCATATATATCAGCGCATATATATATATATAATATATATATATATATATATATATATATATATATAAATTATGGTTTCAGCAACATACTGCAGTAGGGGACAGATCAGCCTTCTTTATTCCAGCTCTTGCTGATGTTGAGGTTTTCTGTTTATATTTTCTGCAAATTTGATGAGCACCTCGTTTAAGCAAAGATAAGGCATTTATTATTTTGTTAGCATTCAACAACCTCAGCTCTCCCATGAGTCTTGCCAGTATTGGACCTTCAGCTTTCTGGATTTAAATGAAGGTAACATGATATTTTCACAGTTTGCGTGGAGTCAGCAGATGAAAAGCACTGCAAGTAGTGGAGGCACCTGTTTCTGTTTCTTATTATGTGTGTGTGTGTGTGTGTGTGTGTGTGTGGTGTGTGTATGTGTCTGTGTGTAGGAAAGCACATGTAAAAGTTGAGAAGGACTCTGCAGAAGTCTGGCCCAACAAGTGGGGGTTCCTGACTGAGACTTACAAAGAGGTAAACATGCAAACACACACTGCCCCCTACTGTTCAAAAAGTACAACAACGAGGTCATTAGATGTGGAAAAAAAACACCAGATTACAAATATTAGCTACAAAGAACTTGTCCTCTTGAAAGAAAAGTCTTTGAATTCACACACATCATGGGCATCACACAAACACACACGTCTTTCTCTGCTGTGTGTATTTCAGTACGAGAGGGAGAGTGTGAAACTGAAGGAGACGGTCAGAATGAAGCTACCCCATCACCTGGCAGCACGACCTCCGACCCCTCCAGAAAAACCCATCCAAGTGAGCTATCTATCTATCTATCTATCTATCTATCTATCTATCTATCTATCTATCTATCTATCTATCTATCTATCTATCTATCTATCTATCTGTCTATCTATCTGTCTGTCTGTCTGTCTGTCTGTCTGTCTCACAAACCTTCTCACCATCCATTCTCTCCTCCAGGTTAGCCCCTCTCCTGCAGTCCCTCAGACAACTCAGGCCTTGATTGGTTGGCGTTCAGGTCCCTCAGATTTTCAGCTGGAAAAGTATTGCACGGTGCATCATGGGAGGCGTAGTTTTCTGAAGGAGCTGGGCTGGCCTTTCGACTCTTGCAACTAGTTTGACGCCACCCATTCCTTGTAATGTTGCCTAATCACTGACTCAGTATTGAATGTGGAGGAAAAACCAGAGGGCTTATGTGAGCCACGAGGATGTAGCATCAAATAAAGATATAAATAAAACCACAAGAATATATTTTAAAAAGTTAATTTGTGTTTCTCAAGATTCCATATGAGGAATGCTCTGTTGTTTTTTATTATACATAAAGGTTTGAGGCAGCAGAAATACACAGAACCCTGTTTATTCTTTGATCCATCAGTCCAGTAACATTATTTCCAGTAGTTATTATTTGCTTTGTGAGCTTAAATGAAGATAATGGGTGCTTGGATTGTAGTTTACCAGGCACATCGTAGGATCACAAGGGATAATTTCTTAAAATAATCATCTTAACCTGTATTTTAACACCAAATCACATGGAGAAATGTACTCTTGATCAGATCAGTGTGCACATGTTCTATGGCTGGAATTAAAATTAATCATGTAAAAACCATAACACAAATTATTATTTAAAGCAAAGTATTTTTATATGTCTTGACTCTAACATGTCTACGGGCTCTTTGAACAGTCATTGCACAATACCAGATCAAGATTATGTAGAATTCAGCAGACAGAAAGCTAATGTATTATATTCACTTGAAAAAAATAAAAAAATAAAATAAAAACAAAAAAAAATAAAAGCCAAATGCTCTCTAAACTCAGAAAAAAAATTAGTTCAAAAAACAGAAAAAAAAATATTATATTCAGAAAATCAGAAAGAAATTACTCAGAAAAACCAACCATAAAAATAAATTACTCAGAAAAACAGAAATAATTACTCCGAAAAACAAACCAAAAAATAAATTTTCAAGCGAATGCAATACGCTTCCGTAAATATGAAACAGCTACTACTACCATTAATACATTATGTGCACGTACATACATTTTAAATATGCTATTATTCTGATGAGAATCAGAAACAGGTTTACTGTCAAGACGGTTTTCACATTCAAGGATTTTGCTTGGTGCATAACAATAAACATAAAATAAGAAAAAATATAAATAAAGATGAACAACAATATAAGAAAAACAATATTATAAAGACAAATGTACATAAGCTGTTATTTTAAATGGAAGAAGGAAAGTGTAAAACATATTGTCAATCTCTATCTAGACGTACAATTCACTCATGTATAGTATTGAACCCACGGTTACTAATAATAACAACCCCCATTAAAGCTATTTGAAGCCACCTCAGTATTTGAAACACACCTCCGCGCAACCCCCCTCTGACGTCTCACGCATGAGTCACGTCGTGGCGCTGACGTATTGACATCACGAGGCCTCTCTGGAAAAGGCGGAAGCAGAGTCAACAACAACAAGAGCAGCGGCAGGCTTCGCCTCGGCGACGATAGTTGGCACGAAAAGGCGACAGAACAGTTTAACGCTTACTTGTACGGCATCCCAAAAGTACCGGCGTCTTGTGTACGGTTAATACAACACATCGCTGTTCACATTTAATAACAAAAATGTCGCTAATCGGTAAGTTTTTCGGCGGCGGGGGAAAGGCTGGGAAAGCGCCGACACCCCAGGAGGCTGTGCAGCGACTCAGAGAAACCGAGGAGATGTTGGCCAAAAAACAAGATTTCCTAGAGAAGAAAATCGACCAGGAGCTCATGACGGCGAAGAAAAACGGCACGAAAAACAAACGAGGTGAGGAAAAAGAAAGAAAAAAGCTCCTGAACTTGGAGGTTTTTTATTAAAAACCGCTGGTTAGTTAGTTAGTTAGTTAGCTCGGAGGCTAACGACAGACGGGGGAGCAGGAAAGTTTGGCAGTTGACAGTTTTCCTACCTGAACACAGGTGGACTCCATTTTTAAATGTCTTGTTTGAAAGGGAAGCACAGTGTTGGTAATAAAAGTCCACACTGAGACGAGTTCACAGGCTCACTGACACACCAGGTAACATTAAACACGAGTTTGAAGAGATAAAATATGACCTGCGACGAGCTTTTAGTTTAACTATCGACCTGAAGAAGTATCCATAAACTGTAGTTTCTGTTCGTCCATCTTCTGTTTACTCCATTTATATTACACTACTCCCAGATTGTGCCTCGATGTACTGTATCAGCATTATATTCAAGAAATCAAGAGTTGGTGTAGCAGTTGTTCTGGAAGATAAAATCCCTGTTTTCATTTTAAAAACCTAGAAACTTATTTAAGGACACACACAGCTGTGTTCAAAGTATTTCCAGAGGCCCCAAAAAGGCTCTTCTAAACATCTGGATGGAAATATTTAGTCAATTTCTGCCAGTAAAGACTCCAAACAAAGCAAATCAAAATTACACGTTTTTCCTTGCTGTTTTCTTCCTTCATTTTATTTTTAGTTTTATCAGATGTATGTGTATCTTTCACTCTATTATTTAATAATTTCATACACAATTACATTACTTATGTTTTTTTCTGGTTCGACAAGAGCAGGGCATCATTTCTGACTACTGTTACAGGGAAGTCACAACTAGGAAAACTTATTAAAAATCATTTTTTTAGCAGACGGAAACGTTTTTAGTCTTTGCTTTTAAAAGTTTTTTGTGAGATTGTCATAAAACAAACCTACAGAAGTATGCAATGAGGCTACAACTGCCTTAGATTCTTAATAAATTATTTATTATGTCAAAATTATGTCATGTCAAAACAGGTAGCTTGTCAGGGAGGGGCCGGGCCTGCCTACAAGTTTGTGACTGATCATTATCAGCGACAAACATCGTCTGATCGTAGCTGTGACAATGGTGACCATACTGTTAATGTGCTCATTCACGGCACAGTTCAGAAGATGAAGTGTAAACCTGAAGGTTCAGTTTAAAGCCCAGACACTGGGCCAGTATGACCCAACTCTGGAAAGTTGTCTTAGCAAGGAAAACAGTAGAATTAACATAATGCTATATGCTTCATGTACCTTTTGTACTCTAGCTGGGACGTGTGCTTGAATATTTTTTAGATTGGCGCCACCAAGACCTGTGAGTTGATAGTTTGTGAGTCTTTTTTTTTACATTTGTTTTTACCTGAGTTGGGCGTCCTCGCCGTTTTCTCGGGCCCCATTTACCGGGCCGGTAGTAACCGGCAATCTGTATGTGGATATCTTTTACTTGATGAGGAAAAACACAAAAAGGATTAAGTAGAGCCCGTCATCGCTTTCCTTGGCGTGAGATACGCCACGTTAGTCCTAACAACCAATTTGAATATTGAGATCTGATCCCAGCAGAATGGAAAGGATGGGAAAGTTTATCAGCACCAGGTCTAAATTTAAACGCCTCTGGACTGATGTTATCCTGCGTATATCTCCAGATACAGATACAGGGAAGTTATTTGTCATGCTAGGCAGGTTTTTTTTTCTACCTTCACATTTCACTGTGGCACTGCTGCTTATTAAGCTTAGCTATACGTCAATCATATTGTAACTCTATACATGGGTTGCAGCATGTGTAACCAGCAGTGTAGACAGAAACGCAGTAGGACCAGACCTTTGCTTTAACTTGTAATTGTTAATTTATTCAAGTCCATTTAAGATGCATTTTTTGTTTTAAAAAAAATAAATCTGGTTCTGGTTCATTTTGAACTGGTTTCATTTTAGAAACAATTCATAGTACAAACATTTGTTGTGATGGTCTCGGGAGCAGTACACAATGTACACTGGCTCACAGCCAGTGCATGCTGGGACAGGCTCCAGCTCCTCATAATCATGAACAGGATAATCAGGTATAGACGGTGGATGGATGAATGCATTACAGCCAAATATCTCCTGTTTTTTTTTCTGTAAATATTAACATCAGTGTCTCTGCTAAATGAGTCTGCAGGCTGAGGTGAGACTGTTTAAACTCACGAGGGCTAAAGACAGCTGACTGTGATGGTAGCCTTCAGTCCGGGAACAGTCAACCCTCTCAGACCGCTTACGAGCTATCATTTACTTGCCAGGTTGTTAGAGATAATTAGTTTATTGCATATAGAGGTGTGCCAGTATAACAGTTTAACTGGGTACTATGGTGACTGGTATTAATGAATGTGACACCGCCAACAATTAGAAGTAGAAATAAGACACTCATTTGTTATAGCCTGCCCAGGAATAAGGTAACTCCGGCACATTGACATTGAAGTGTAAACAGCAATGTTGATTATTGTGCATTGGCCCTGGTAAATATAAAAATCCTGTTACTGTGACTGCTATAGTTTTTAGAGGGCAGTGAACACAGCACTCCTGTCTTTATCAGCTGTATTATGGGAGTGCCGTTGTACTTGTCAAACAGAGGCAGAGCAACCACAGCAGGAAACTGTCTGTCTAGCTTTAGCTACCCAGTACAGGGCTTGTCATTCTCAGTATTCGATAGTTAACCTCCTGTAGCACCAACCTGCAGCGGGTTTTCTACATGACAGTCCACACAGGTTACGTTCTTCCTGTTTCAGCTTTAACCGCAGTGAAGATTTTATTTGAGCTTTTGGGGAACACACTGTGTCACTGTGCCGCTGCTCATCACGTTGATACAGACAGCCAAATGGCAAGCTGTGGCTGCAGAGAGGTTTGTGATGCAACCACAAATCATCTCTAGGAACAATGCACCAACACTCAGACCACGAGCACTGTGAGCTCATTTACAGCTGTTTTTTTAAAAGTCCCTGTTACCCCATTACCTGGTACACCAGCTGCAAACACTAAAACCTGATTTTCAACATAGTTTGTCCTGTCACAGTGCGCACAATCCTCACATTCCTCACAGCAAACACACCAAACCTACCAAACCTAACATCTATGATAACAGCATCTACTTGATGGCTCTCTTAAGTTTGCTTGCTGTTTCCACATTATTTACTGTTCTGTACTTCACCTCCTTCTCCCTGTTTGGCACCAGGTATTTTAATAAGGCTCCTTGGCTTTGTTTAGCATTTTCCATTTAGGATTTTCCTCCAAGCTATAGAGAGTTGGATCAATCAGGAAAGAACTGAAGAATGACATCATGCTAAGTCAGCAGTGTATTCCTAAATATGTTTAAAAGGCCTTTTGTCTAGGTAAATGATACCAGAATAGAGCTCATGGAAGCAAAACTGTAATTTATTTTATTTGTAAATCGGACTTTGCTACTGTAAAATGCCGCTGAGGTTTTTAAGTGGA